TCATTTTTTAAACATCTCTTTGGGGCGCGGGACATGAAAGTGAACGGCAGGTCAAAGTCAGGAGTTCGGGGTTCTGGGGTGGTTTGGTCTGATAGCCTCTCTTCCTCTGTGGCTGTGCCCTTAGTGGGGGCAGGTGAGGCTGGTTCACAATTCTGGTCACATCACCCTCTCCTGGATGACAGCATCGCACCTTCATCCGTCCATTTACATTTCAAACCACCTCCCGCCTGCTCTTGATTAATTATTTAGTGACGCTGGTCACTTGTGAGCATTTCTGAGCTCCCATTTCACGTACAAGGTCCATTCCTTTTTTATCCAAATCTTCTTTCCCTGAATCCTTGTGTAGTTTTCGAAATGAAATGCTACATATTCCTTTTGAGCCCCCGGCACCCATGTATTGGCACCTCTTCTTTGTGGCGGTATACGTGGATATTCGGCGAAGGGGGCAGATTCGCCTGTGGGGCTCCCCCTCTCTGCCTACCCCTGACCTTGATCGATTCCCCTTTGTGGGAGCTCCAGGTTTTAATAAGTCAATACAGGGATTTGGAGTGTGCCGTCTCAAGGTCTCCACTATTTTTAAATGGTGATGGAATCTATGAGAAGTAATAGAGGGACATGGGCTTTAGAACCCAAGGGAATTTGGGGTGTCTCCCCTGGCTCTGGCACTTACCTGCTTATTTGTATGGGACACCTGGTAAGTTAGGTCATCTGTCTGGCTCTCACTTTCCTTCTTTTTTTTTTTTTTCAATGTTTATTTATTTTTGGGACAGAGAGAGACAGAGCATGAACGGGGGAGGGGCAGAGAGAGAGGGAGACACAGAATCGGAAACAGGCTCCAGGCTCTGAGCCATCAGCCCAGAGCCTGACGCGGGGCTCGAACTCACGGACCGCGAGATCGTGACCTGGCTGAAGTCGGACGCTTAACCGACTGCGCCACCCAGGCGCCCCCGGCTCTCACTTTCTTTACCTCTACAATGGGTGTGGAGAGATACAGAGGTGGCAGGGGGGTTAAGAGGAATGCACGGAGGGACACTGAGAATGCACCTTGCGTGTGGACCGTGAGGGAGATGGTGCCCTAAGGGTTTAATCTTGACCTTCTCAAACAGGGCGAATAAAATGGTTGGCACGGAATCAACCTTCAAGAACAGTTAGGCAGTTTACTGTGGGGTTGCCTTTACCCCAGGCAAAATTCTTACCCATACCAACATCCGGTAGTGGGAGAACCACACTGCAAAACAACCTGTTCTCGGAGTTGGAAACCTGGGGTCTGTTCTCCGGACTTTTGAATTCCAGTTCTAACACTTGTTAGTTGCGTGGTGTTGGAAAAATGATTTAATCTTCCCCAACCTCACCTTCATCAACTGCAGAATGGTCCCAAATTCAACCTACCTTAGAGGGGACACTGTGAAAAAATGCAACGCTAAAGATGTAAACACTCAGCACACAGCAAGCATCCAACTGATGATTTTGCTTTCTTTCGTTTTTTTTTTTTTTAAGGTTATTTACTTATTTGAGAGAGAGAGAGAGAGAGACAGAGCATGTGTGCATAGGCAAGTTGGAGGTGGGGCAGAGAGAGAGAGGGAGACAGAAAATCCCAAGCAGGCTCTGTGCTGCCAGCATGGAACCCGACCCGGGGCTTGAACTGATGAACTGTGAGATCATGACCTGAGACGACATCAAGAGTCAGGTGCTTAACCGACGGAGCCACCCCTGATTTTGCTTTCTTAACCCTGATAAATTAATGTTGGTTCATAAACGAGCTCTGATCATCTCTCAAGGAAAAGAAGGAAAGTTCCGATTTTTCTATTTTGTCACCAAAAGGATCACTAGACTTTACACAAAACAGAGCACATCCTTCACCACATAATAAAACCGAATCTACTGGTTTTTTTTTTTTTTTTTTTTTTTTTTTCTTTTTTTTGGCAAGAAAAAAAAAAGCATAAATACAACTGACATCAATTCTCGGTGCATATTGTGTCTCGTCTCCCTGGTTTACAGTTTTCGGAAACCAAAAGTCCATCTGTCTCTGAGACCTTTCTAGTTTCCAGAAAAGAAAACACTGTCTAGATATAGTAGTGCTGTATCATTTGGCTGACTCGCAGCGCCCTTGCACGCTTCCCTTCTGCCGGCGAGCGCGGGACGCCAGGATGCGGATTTCAGGCTGCCGCTGCCCTTGCGGGTTAACCCCTATCACAGGTCACTCTGCTGTGTTAATTTCATCACAGCCTAACCCCCGGCGCTTCAGTGGGGAAATCACAACAGAGAACGCGCAGCTCGATGCACATTGCTCATTTCCGCCCGTGTGAAAAGAAGGGCGAAGATGCCCCGGACACCCACGCCCTTCCTGCCGCAGGGTTTATACAGCCCCCCCGATCAATCTGAGAGCGACCGATCTAGTGCGCCCGTTCGTTAGCCGCGCGCACACTGGACTGCCTGATGGAGAGGCTTGTGCTTGAGAACATTAAAATCTTGACTTCCCCTTTTCTAGTGAGGCTCCTTTGGCACCCCCCTTGACTCATCAGTTCTAAACTCCACACTTCGTGTTTCAGTTCAAATGTCCCCTTCCTCCGAGAGAGAGAGAGAGAGAGAGAGAGAGAGAGAGAGAGCCGGGTTCTGTTAGCACTCGGACTGCAGTAAAGAACAGCAGCCACAACAAAATTGCATCCATTTCCCATCTTCAGTGAAAAAGTGACAAATCATGGAAGACAGACCTCACTTGGTTCTCAAGTAATGTCTCGGCTCCCTCAGGGGGTTGGTGCGTCAAGCCTCTGTCTCTGTCTTGCATAGGGTTGAGTGGCTGCCTGCTGGGGGGAGGCTCCAAGCTCCTGGGGGGAGGTCAGCAGGGACCTAGGTGGGAGGAAGGCAGAGTGGAGGGTGCAGCCTGGGGAAGCCTTTCTCCAGCCCCTTCCCTCCCTGTATTCATGGCAGTACCCAAAGCCCACCCTCCTGGATGGTCCCCTCAACCCGCGCCCCGGGCGGGTCTCAGAGGTAGCTGGAATCTCCCTGCTCCATGGCGGGTCTTGGGGTGCATAGGGGCGGTCGGCAACTCTCAGGGCCTTGTTTCCTCGATTCAAGATACCAAGAACGGGGTTGCCCATGCCTACGTAGCAAAATTTGTTACGAGGATTAAGTGGAATAATACCCAATGATGTTAATACAAGAGCAAAACAGCACAAATACTCAGGGGTTTAAAAAAAAATCCTTGCCAACTGAATAACGGGTGGGTTGGGACCCCAGGGCCAAACTCTGCGTGCCTGGCAGTGGTAGTCAAGGAGGTAGGGTGGCGGCTTGGCCTGGTCACGTGACTTCCCATCAGTCATGGAGGACAGTGGTGTGTGGGATGTCCAGGGTGCCTGGTGCACCTGGCTGGAGCTGCTTCCTGCCACTTCCGTTCTCCTTTTCGGGCGTCAGTTGGCATCACCATTCACCGGGCCAGCAGCTGGTGTCTCCAGGACGTGGCGTCTGGGGCGGAGAAGTCGCCGGAATGTGCGGGCTGGGTGCTGCCTACCTACATTCCGCGACCACTCAATAGGAATACGGCTGTACGCTGGGGGAGTCCTAGAGGATGCCGAATTCATGATTGCGATGACACTTCTGTATGGAGGGAGGCCAGAAGCCCTTTCGGAACAATAATCGTTTTCGTATAGCCTCCCATGGCTCCCATGCTTCCTCGGGCCAGCTCTAGGCAAAATTGCAAAGCTTTGTCATGGTTCCCATCATTGTTGTTGTTGTTGTTGTTGTTGTTGTGTTAATGAAGTCTGTGAAAATTGTGACAACATCCAGGCACGATGGACAATGGTCAGACTGACACTCCAGCTTCGCTTTGAAGAGCATTTCGATGGGTGTGAGATGATAACACTGGTAAAATAGGATTAAAGGCATCATCAGTGCTCACAGCCCTGACCATTGAAGAGCAATAGAATGAATGGCCAAGGTGGGTTATGTGGAAATGTCATCAGTGGCTGCACAGGTAGCGAAAGTCACCACCATTGAGGATGAAGTTGGACTGTGCACAAAATGGGATCCGGTGTGACTGTAGCTTCGGCAGGATAGAGTTTACTTTTTTTTTGCACGGAAGTCTGCACGTAGATGGTCAAGGGTTCTGCTAGCCTTGCCCTCCTCTGCTTTGTGTCTCTCCTCTGGAGTGACGATCGCTTCGCTTGTCTAACACGCTACCCTTCAGCGGTGCCTAATTGCCGCTCTTGTTGCTTCTTTCTTGGGCTTGCATGGGCTTCCGTTCCCAAGGACATCTTTTGGTCCAAGATAACTGCTCCAGAGCTGCTCCATCACACCTGCTTTCCTGCCAGCAAGAAAGAGGGATGGGGAAGGTGTGGCAAGGGGCAGACGCCTGCTGTTACCTATGGAAGTTTCCCAGAAGCGCCAACGTAACACCTTCACCTACATCCCCCTGCCCAGCCAGTCTCATGGCCACACCTATCTCTGTCCCATTGCAAAGACCAGGTGCTATGGAAGAAGTGGAGAGCATAATGGGGGGGGGGGCACTCATGGTCTCTGCCAATCAAGTAATTTCAGAGCTTCTGGAAGGTGACTTTTGCCTTCCCTTCCACTTAGCTGATGCCTCAAGTTTCTCAACAGCATTGAGTCTTTCATTAAAACAAAGTGGACGTTCTTATGCTGTGACCTCCAGGTCATTTGTAGGGTTCCCGGCGCTAGTTCCTTCCCCCCCCCCACCCGTCCCCCAGCAACCCCCAGCCCAGCTGAGCTGGTGTCGTGATAATACCGTGTTTTTCTGCTGTGTCCGTATTCATAGAGGGCAGTAGCTATTACAGCAGCCAACGCTTACTGAGGCTTACACCACTCCGGCTCTTACACTCACAGTTAGAGAATCTTTTGCTCATTTAACTACCAGCTAGATAAGGGCTCTTAATGGAAGTGTGGACTTAGAGCCAGGATACCCACTACGGGCACAATTGTACCACTTAGCCCTGGTGCTAACCGTGATGCCACATGGCTTCTCCTTTATCCTGTCTGATTTCCAGGTAGACCCCGGCACTGTGTCGATTCTAGCAGAAGAGGCACATTTTTCTGGGTCCTGGCTCTGAGCGTGCGCGTGCGAGGAGTGGAGGTGAGGTGGGGGAAGCCACGCTAAATACCCAAATGAATGTAAGGCCGTTTGGAAAGTTCCCTAAGAGGTGAAAGCAGGTGTACTTTTGCTGTAGGTATTCAGGAGACGTAACGCTAAGGCCCTAGCAGGGACGCTATAAAACGAGTTAATTGCTTTACTCTGCTGCATTTCCTTCCCTATGGAGTAGCTGGAGGCCCTCACCAGCACACATTCCAGCACAGTTAAGGTCATGTCCCTGTGTGAGCCAGCTGTCAGCGGGGCTCCTGCCCTTGGGGATCTGGTCAGACTTGACTGGAATCCTTATTCCAAGTGTTTTTTTCATCAAAGGTCACTCTTACACGGACTGTTCTTGAGTTTGGTAGATTTTTCAGGGACTAGAAAGATTTCTAGAGACAGATTATTCTCTCTCCCCCCTTTTTTTTTTTAATTTGAATGTTAGTTGGTTAATATACAGTGCAGTATTGGTTTCCGCAGTAGAATTCAGTGATTCATCACTTACATACAACACCCAGTCCTCCTCTCTAGATTTCTAGACAGATGTTATTCTGGGTTGGGATCTTCTCTGGCATCTCCTCCTGCCTTCTCTCTCCCGCCTCCGGAACAACTTCGGTTTTATTTGTGGGACACATGATTCCCTGGCCTTTGGGAGTTGATATCCAATCGCTGACTCAAGTATGTTCCTCACCAAAAGCTGATTCCTTATGCTACGAGAGATTCTGGAGAATTCAAGTCTCCTTCTCTTCTTGTTCTTGGTGTTTTGGTGGCTAGATTGACACAGCAGGAATTAGTCTGTATCTTCAGGTAAGAAGTAGATGACCCAGTGCTCCTGGATGGTGGTGATGAAAGAGCCTTGGCCCTTCGTGGCTGCTTGGAAGGCAGGGCCTCAGATCATGGGGAGTTCATTGTCCCCAAAGCAGTGGGACTTGCTGCAGTCTTCTGAGGTGGCGGCCACTGACAATTTTGAGGATGATTGTCATGAAAACATCTGCTCCTTAGTGGATGGGTTCGGCCACTGGTGGAAGTGACCAGAGATGCCTGGCGCTTTCCATATCTAGTCTCCCTTCCACCCTGCGCACACGGGAAGGCTCGGCTGCCCTGAAAGTGGCTGGAGACCGTCGGACTACAGCTGCCCAACAGGCTCGTTCTGAGTGAAGCGACGTGTCATTTTTGGTCTGAGCCAGTTAAGAGTTTTCCATACTCTCTCTTCCCTGGGAGCCATGTGTTGAAATGACAGCCTGGCCAGATGGGAGGAGCCTGGATCCCCGAGACAGTAGGTGGATGAGGGCCCTCCTGACCATCCTTGGACCTGGCATGCACCAGATATAAACTTCTCTCGGGTGATGAGTCTTGAGAGAAACACCAGCAGAGAGAAAAGCTCCTCCTCTTTTGGCCTTTGTTACCATAGCATGGCATGGTACGTCCCCAGTACAGGTAATATGGACTTTCTATGGACTGCACTCCGCCCTACCACTGAGATATTCCTGGACGTCTAATAGATTCCAAAGTTTTGATGATCAGGGGATGTTTCAGGATTAGAAGAAAGGAAGGATTTTCTGCATTCCTTATTATTTCTGTTCTTTTGTTTTTTTTCCCCTCCCTTAAGTGGCCATCATCTCAAAGAGACCGGGTGAGAAGGTGGCAGGTGCTGAATGGAAACGCCAACAGACAGAATTGGAGAGGAGCACTTGGTAGGACGCTTCCTAAAAACCCTGCTTTGCCTCATCGGTATGCTGTTCCGGAACAGTTCTGCCTGACGCGGTGCTCCCGCAGGTTCGTACAAAGGAGGACGTGATGCCGAATCCATCTGTTGCCATCCCCCCTTTCACAGCAGCTGAGAATCCAGGCTCCGTCTCCATTAGTAATCACCCAGCATCACGATTAAACCCCTATCGCACCAGATGAGAAAACCCCAGGAGGGCGCTCCGTGTCCGTTCCATTCAAGTCCGAAACCCGTTGTGCATATTGGCCTAGTGGCACCAGCGGCTCGAGGGGGAGACACCCCCGAAGATGATTAAGGTAGCAGAGAATTTGCCCAGTCAACTCCTGGAGTGCCGGATATGGTGCCCGATACGGCACAAAGCGAGTGTTCATTCGCTCGGTGGTGACTCTCAGTGGAGAATGACTGTGTTAATTAGTAGCAGAGATTGTTGAAAAACGCATTCTGCTGTGCAGAAATAGCATGTGACTCCTTGTCCATATTATCTTCTCCAGCACAGAGAAAGGACTCACACAGCTCAACCTACGTACGGTGTGCGTGACTCCCTGTGATAAGCCAAGTTTAACTCTCCGCCCTCTATTCTCTGATGCTATTCCTGGGGACAGGGACACTCCAGCCACACAGTCACAGCTGGCAATATCAGCAATCCTTCCGTCTAGTATGGAAACCAAACTGTTGGCGTAAGGGCTTGCGAGCAATTCTGCTCATGTGTACTAGCTGTGCAGCTTCTAGAAAACCCCTTTTGGTAGAAGGAGGTGCTGAACTAATGCAGGGCTGCAAGAGGATGTACTGCGCTATAAAGGAAACCTGCTTCTAACTCCCAGACAGAGCCAGAGGTGAGGTTCTGGCTCCCTAAACACTTCCTTTCCAATCTGACTTTTGGGGTTTCACCTTAGAAGGTGGAAAAGGGTCTCTTGAGTCTAATAGCTCTCAGAGAGAGAAAGATTTGTCTTGACCCCCTCAATGAGGAGCTTTGGACACTGTCCATGTGTTCGGTGACCTTGTCTCTGATGGTGAATTCTCAAGAGCTCCTACTCTCTAGGTGGGTGGGATGCCAACGTTCACTTGTCGAGAAAGGAGGGGCTGAGCAGGTGAAACCTTTCTGATTTTTTCTTTCCAGGATGCTCTCCAGGAACATTCCGGTTAGCCTACCTCAGAAGAGTAACAGCCTGTGCGTGAACCCGTTACCCTCAAGACTTTGCTCTTCTTTCCACAATACCTTTTGGTGGCCAGTCGACTTCTTCGACTTCCTGTTAGCTTTTCAAATGGTTGATTTAGAAACTCAAGTTATTCTAGCCTTGGTTATGTGGTCTCAGGATTCGCACAACTAGTTTTCCTCGTTATGAATATTGAGAAGAGTTGGTTGGCGTGTTGTATGATGAGGAAGGAGCCCTGGGATGGGAGTCCAAAGGTGTAAACTGGGGCGGGGTACTTCGTCTCTCTGAACCTCAGTCTTGTCAACAAGAGGGTGGGTTAAAGTGCTTCTTACTACCAAATCCTAGAAGTCCTAAGAACTGTGCTCCAGAGGAGAAAACACACATTGGCAAATGTGGATTTATTCACTCTTCCGCCATGCGTTTGTAGACTGGTTTGAGACAGTTCTGAATTCACCTAGTAATAACATTAGCTTAATTTCATATGGAAGGACACAGGTTCCACAGCTTAACCATAAAACTTGTACCCTGGTTGACTTCCACCCTTTCCCTAACAAAGTAGATGAATTAATCCAGACAATTACTGTCAGGTGAAGGGGCAAGGTTGGAGATTCTCTGAGAAATCTGATGGTTGTACAGATGATAGGGTTAATTTGCAAGACCTCGTATGGAACACTTCCATTATTTCGGTTGCTATTAGAGTTAGATAGTGCTGGCTGGGTAGAAATCTGTTAATGTTATAAAGTTTGGGTCAATTTACCAATGGAAAGGACAGCACCATTCTAGGTTTTTTTCCCCTCCTCTCTTTCTAGAAACCATAGCATTTAGAGAAATTATATGATGATATTGGACAAATATAGCCAAACCCAATCAGCCCAAAAGTAGTGGAAAAGCAAACCATTAAAACCCTCTCCCAAACAGAAGCCTATTGGGAAGCAAGGTATAAATAGAGGAAAGCTTATGAAATGAAATAGACAGGATATAAAATTTCCATATCCTCAATCCCGCAACAAGGACTTTTCTTACATATATTGCCATTACCCTGATAAGATTGGGAGTTGACCAGTGGCTCTATGAATTTAAAGCAAATGGTGACAATTAGGTCCTCAGGGTATACCCTCATCTTCTTCATTCACTGCATAGCCATTATTTTGGAGTTTTCATTTATATTTTTATGTTTATGGTCCTTGGAGGAGGCTGAATACTACATTTTGACAGTGGAATCTGAAAGAGCTACAATTCTAGATTCTGTAAATACTTCTTGATCATAGAAATGCCTTAGTTTTCGGGGCGCCTGGGTGGCTCAGTCTGTTAAGTGCCCGACTTCAGCTCAGGTCATGATCTCACCGTTTGTGGGTTCAAGCCCCACATCGGGCTCTGTGATGACAGCTCAGAGCCTGGACCCTGCTTTGGATTCTGTGTCTCCCTCTTGCTCTGCTCCTCCTCCACTCATGCTCTGTCTCTCTCTCTCTCTCTCTCTCTCTCTCTCTCAAAAATAAATAAACATTAAAAAAAATTAAAAAAAGAAATGCCTGAGTTTTAACTTTGAGAGCTGTCTCATTGGTCAAGCTCTTTGGATGGGATATACATTAGGTCAATCCCCCCAATTCACGTTCTTGAGGTATGCTTTTCAGAGGTTCAAACTGTGGGTGGTTTAGTTCATATCCTTTTACCCCAAAATGAAAATTCTGGGATTCTCATTAGCCTTCTCCCAAAGCAAACCTTTAAAGCTTCCCCAACACGTGTAAAAACCAAACTTTATGAGGATCCGAGACCAGCCAGGAAATTTTAACAAAGACTAAATTTTAGAACAGCAGATCTTTAGTTGTGCAAAGGACATTGCTAAACTTCTGGGTTGGAAGGTATCCTGATCTACCTAATTCTATTTATGAAACTGCATATGTGCTTTGAAACTCCATTTAGATCCAACTCTCAGCTAGAGATGGAAACCATATGTGTGTCTAAGGCCCATATGTTAGGGCTTGGAGAGTCTTAGATTTTGTTTTGATTTCCAACTCCGCATCATTTTCAGATTTGGAGGCATCTGGGTATGTCCTTGACCCTCTGTGTCATGTGGCAATATTTTTGTTTTCCCTTCTTCTTCTTCTTCTTCTTCTTCTTCTTCTTCTTCTTCTTCTTCTTC